AAAATAAATGAGGACACTACTTATATTGTTCTACTTTTATACTTTAAAATGTCAAGAATAGTCACGAAGGATATTAATGAAACCATACCCAAGAATCTACTATATTCCTTCTAATGACTTGATAGATTCTTTTTTTTTAGAGTGACTAGATTTATTTTATTTAATCATTTCTCTCTGATTTGTCTTCTGCAATTTTTTAGCTGTTATAAGCCATTCCTTGATGAGAATTCAGGATTAATTAGTTTTATTTATATAATAAAAATACTATGTCTACAATGACAATTCATATACTTCAGGACTAAGGATATTCACGTTTTAAAAAATTTAGACTTTGCCAGTTTGCACTTTAAAGGAGCTTTACATTTAATCTCTTACCAGTTTAACCTCTCACATGTTTTCTTGCATCCTCACTAAAATAAGGTGTTACTTGTTTTACATTAGCCAATCTTGTAATAGAAAAATAACTTTTCTTCTTTTATTTGTAGTTCTTTGTTAGTCAGTTTTCTGTCACTATAACAAAATACCTGAGATAATCAACTTAGAAAAAGAAAGAGTTTATTTTGTCTTATAGTTTTAGTTTTGAATTTTTATAATTTGTTCTTTCTAGTTTGACATGACAGTAGAATGTATCATACATACATGGAGTATAACTTCCCATTTCTGTGGTTGTATATGATGTGCAGTTACATGGTTGTGTATTCATAAACATAGGAAAATTATGTCTGATTCATTGTATAGTATTCCTATTCATATTTCCCCTCCCTTCCCCTCATTCTTCCCTGTCCAGTCTGTCAACCCTCCCTCCTACCTCTCCCTGCCCCTGCCCATTGTGAGTCAGCAACCACATATCAGAGATAATATTTGATCTTTGGTTTTGGGGACTTGGCTTATTTTGCTTAGCATGATAGTCTCCAGTTCTATCCATTTACTGACAAATGCCATAATTTAATTCTTCTTAATGACTAAATAACATTCCATTGTATAGGTATACCACATTTTCTTTATCCATTCATTTGATGAAGGGTACCTAGGTTGATTCCATAGTTTAGCTATTGTGAATTGAACTGCTATACACATTGATGTTGTTGTGTCATTATAGTATGCTGATTTTAAGTTCTTCTGGTATATACCAGAGGAGTGGGATTCCTGGTTTTCTGAGGAATCTCCATACTGCTTTCCACAGTGGTTGCACCAATTGCAGTCCTACCAGCTATGGGGGACTGTATGAGTGTACCTTTTGTCCCACATGCTTGCCAACATTTATTGTTTCTTGAATTTTTGAAAATTACCATTCTGACTAGAGTAAGATGGAATCTCAGTGTAGTTTTAATTTGCATTTCACTGATTGCTAGTGATGCTGAACACTTTTTCATATATTTGTTAACCATTCATATTTATTCCATGAAGTGCCTGTTTAGTTCCATTGCCCATTTATTGATTGGGTTTTTGTTTTTTTCTTTTTTTTGTGGGGGGGCTGTTAAGTTTTTTGAGTTCTTTATATATCCTAGAGATTAATGCTCTTTCTGAAGTATAGGTAGCAAAGATTTTCTCCCATTTTGTAGGCTCTTTTTTTTTTTCACATTCTTGATTTTTTTTTTCCTGTGAAGAAGCTTTTTAGTTTAATACCATTCTATTTATTGATTTTTGATTTTACTTCTTGTGCTCTTTAGGAGTCTTGAGCAATTTGGTTCCTAAGCTGACATGATGGAGATTTAGGCCTACTTTTTCCTTTGTTAGGTGCAGGGTCTCTAGTCTAATGCCTAGCTCCTTGATCCACTTTGAGTTGAGTTTTGTGCAGCTGAGAGATAGGGGTCTACTTTCATTTTGTTACATATGGGCTTCCCAGCACCATTTGTTGAAAGGCTCTTTTCTCCAATGTATGTTTATGTTTGTCTAGTATGACATCATTGTATTTATGTGGATTTGGCTCTGTATGTTCTATTCTGTACCATTGGTCTTCATGTCTGTTTTGATGCTGTTTTTGTTATCAAAGCTCTATATTATGTCTTACACTTTTAGAAGTTCTAGTCCATGATCAGTTGGCCTCACTGCTTTTGGGCCTGTGAAGGCAGCAGCGTGTCATGAAGCAAGAGTGTTCACCTCATCTCCAGGAAGGAAAAGTAAGAACTTGAAGTGGCTAGGATCCCATAATCCCTTTTAATGGTGTGCTCATGCCTTAAAGGTTTCACTCTAGATTTCACCAGTCTTTTAAAGGTCTCATCACTTCACAGTAACACCTCAGTGGGGACCAGGCCTTTAAACACCTGGGCCGTTAGGGCTGAATGTTTTTGTATCTGTTTATTGTCTGTTCATTTTTTTAAACCTATGTTTCTGTAGTCAATTTCACAGTATTTTTTCTATGTTTATCTTGTTTCACTTTTTCTTATTTCATCACAGGAACTATGGGTATATAAAATATTTTGAAACTTCACATATTGATTTTTAAGTGTTTTCTTCAGGTTAATTTTTTTCTTTTAAAAATTTTCTCTTTCTTAATCCCAGTTATGTTTTAAAAGAAATTTTACCTATGGGATCTCTCATCAAATTTTAAGTGAAAAGGTATTGATTAATTTCATAATTGAAAATATTTTCCTCCAAGTTTCTCATCTTTCTATAATTTTGTATTTTAAATTTAGCACTTTCAATTGATTTATCATTCTATTTGTCTCCTTTATTAGTTTAACATTTATCATTTATTCATTGCTTACTGGAGAGATTATAATATGTATCCTTGACTTATTAATTATGTATAAATGAGTACTTTTCTCAAATAATACCAGAATTTTATAATTTAACTTATTTATCTTCCTTTCCATTTTTATTCTATTTTCGTTGTGATTTGAAACTCACAAAATATGACTGTTATATACTAAATATTTATTTAGATTAATCTATGTATCTATCAATCACTTACTCCACTTTACTTTCCCTTTACACACATTTATATTTATTTTTCACACTTTCAGTTTGAAATTTCTTTGTTTATGCCTTAAGAATAGCTATTAGTATTTGCTTTAGTGTATTTCTGCTTGTAATGAATTTTCTTTTCTTTTCTCTTCTTTTTTGTACTGGAGATTGGACTTGGGAGCACTCAACCACTGAGCCACATCCCCAGCCCTATTTTGTATTTATTTAGAGACAGGGTCTCACTGAGTTGCTTAGCACCTCACTTTTGCTGAGGTTGGCTTTGAACTTGCAATCCTCCTGTCTCAACCTCCTGAGCCATTGAGATTATGGGCGTGTACCACCATGCCCAGCTGAATTTTCTTTTTTATAAAAAAATTAATTTTTAACTGATACATAAAACATAAAAATCATACATATTATTGGGATAATGTGATGTTTTGATACACATATAAACCATATAGTATAATGTTTAAATTAGATAGCATATATGAGTTTCATCAAACATTTATCAATTCCTTAGGATAAAAACCTTTAAACTATTTTCTGCTAGTTTTTTGAAATATGAAGTACATTTTCATTATCTATAGTCACCCTATTGTGAAACAGCACACCAGAACTTATTGCTCCTATTAAACTGTAACTTAAGTACCCATTGATCAGCCTTTCCTTATCCTTTCTTCTTCCCTCCTCTCCCTAGGGAAACCACCATTTCCCTCTCACTTCTATAGGGGTCAGCCTTTTTAGACTCCACATATGAATGGGATCATGTAGCGCTTGTCTTACTATGCCTGCTTTGTTTCACTTCATATAATAACCTAGTTCCTTCCATGTTGTTGCAAATGACAGGATTTCATATTTGTTTATGGTTGTACAGTATTCCACTGTGTACATGTACCACATTTTCTTTATCTGTAGATAGACAGTTTAGTTGTCTCCATTTCTTGGCTATTGTGAATTGTATTACAATGATCGTAGGCTGCAAATGTCTCCTTGACATACCGATTTCAATTCCTTTGTATATATAACTACCAGTGGGATTGCTGGATCACGTGGTGGTGCCAAACACATAAATTCCAGAATAACACCATTCAGGAAGACAGACTAGGGGGCACATTCCATCTTGTGCTTCATATCAGGAAAGTTATAAGGATAATATGAATACCCTCTGAATTACTGTTTATTTCTGATTATGATCATTCCTATTTCTAAGACATAATGAAGACTCTGGAAGTGATTGAGAATATGCATGAGCACTTTTTATGGCACTTTGGTCTCCTTATGATGTTGTTCTACTCAGGATTCATTTCTAGTAATTACAGATCTGTGATTATATGTATGGCTGTTTTAAAGTGTCTTTAGGTAGATCATTTCTTGTAGAACTTCCATGCACTGCCATTGAATAAACCAATATGGTATTAACTGAAGGACTACTGTGTCCTGTATTGTACTCTAGGGTGTCACATATTAAAGAAAAACAGCAAATAATCTCTGCTTTTGGGAAGACTATGTTAACTATATCAACCCACAGAAATAATTAGAAAACTATATAATAGTGTATATTTATGTTTTTAATGGTATAAGAGCAACCAAAATTCAGCAGGAATGAAGAGTCTAATTGAAATATAATCGTAGACTGTGATTAGAGAGTTTTTATAAACCCTTTGTTTGAGATATGATGTAATTAAGACAAATTTTCATCAGTGAGGAAGTGAGATTTGAATTAGGCCTTAAAAATTGACTAGACTAAAAATAAGTATGAAATTAGAAGAAATTTAACTGGATTAATTTATTTCACATTTCCTGATTTTATTTGTATGAAGACATGCATACCATATTCAATTTAGGTTTGTCGAATAATCCATAAATTCTTAAAGTATATGTGATTAACAATGCTGCTAATGCTGAAAGACAGCTTATTTTCTTAATCCAAAGCTCACTTTATACAATTATTCTTTTTGCAAACTACTACTTGGTTATATTAACACTTGAATAATCTTGACAAGAAGTTGCTTTAAGCAGTTAAAGATCCAGATGCTGATCAGCATGCATTAAGTGATTCAGCTTAATTGGTTCCATCTAGATGAATTACTTACCTCAGTTCCTATCACAATTTCTTCCCTGGTAGAGAAGAACAGAAACTCATACAGTCTGTAATGTTGAAATAAGCTGAAATACAAAATAAATGTGCAACTATAATAAATTTACTGCAGGGAAAAAAAGAAAACACATAAAGGCATTTATTAGAAGTATATTAGTGCTGATCCAGCTAACGATACCAAATACTAATATAAAATACCTCTTTTATTTCAAAATAAATTGTCTAGAAATGTTAAGAATGAGATTTTAATTTCTGAGACATTTACAATGTAACACAGTACCTAGAATAATGTCAATAAATTAATCTGTGATGATTGGATAGGTTTGGGATAAGAAAGCAATTAGATTGCATCTTGGTAATTCTGAACTTAAAACCAAATAAGGTCCATCCCTAAATAACACTAAATTTCACATTATTTTCTGTTTTGCTCCAAAATAGAGTCAATTTGCTCTGATATGAATGGCACTGAATTCTGTAATCTACTTCCATATCAATTACTTCTTCATACAGTCTTAAACTGTTTCAAGATTAAATCAATCTCCAATAACACCTGAAAAATGATGCGACATGAGCTGAAATCCATTTAGAAGATGTCCAACTTTCCTGCAGAATATTCAATCACACATCAAAGGGTGGAATACATTTAAGACAAATCATTTCCTTTTTTCTTACCTGGAAACTAGGTGGTCAGTGTATAAAAACTACAAAGAGCCAAAGGATAAGAGCTCCCGAAAATAAATATTTTTAGCAAATTTAAAGAACTCAGCAATGTATTATTGAGAGTTAAAAATAAACTGAAGGGCTGACTTCTAATATCCTGTTTGTGATAATATTTGAATTTTTCTAATTCTCTTCCTGCTGGTTGGGAAAATTAATAGACTCATATTACAGCAAAATGCCCAAGAACAAAAAATTGTCTTAGTGGTTTCTCTTTCACTCTGGTGCCTTTTGCTATTTAAGAAAATTGATTTTAATATAACTGAGAAATTAACATTTGCAAAATGTAGCTACAGAGCATGTATAATAATGGCTTCTCCTGAATGCTGTAATGGATCAAAGTTTCAATTCATTTGGAATCAATGAAGAAATCCTCAGGCAGCTGGGTCTCTTTGAGTTATATTAGCAGTTGATCTCACTACTAACACAATCCATTAAAAAGTGATAGGTGTGTAGACTCACTTATGGTTTTTCTTTTTTCTTTTTCTCTTTTTTTTAATCTTGTACACTTGAATTACTCATCAACATTCACAAAGCTAACTTAGCTTTTTGGCATCACTTTGATTTGTTGGCTAGGAAAATACATTAAGATTAGTGAAGTTTGATGTTTCATTGGTGCAAAATAAATTCATATTCTCCCTCCCTGAAACTAGTAGCCTAGAGAAAGCTGTAAGGTCAAAAATATTACATTGGCAGTAAGTGATTTTGAGTAAAAAAACTGAAGACCATGTTGTGGAAATAGCTTGGCTTCCTCCTCGTGAACAAGAGTAAAATTTCCCTTTCTCCATCCTGTGTCACACAAAGAACTTACTTCATAAATACTCCTTCCTGCAATTTCATAATCTTTCAGTTTTATTCTCCTTGTTGCACATAGGAATCACGTTGTCCCTGTCAGGAGGGAAACGACCTTGCAATGAAATGAGCTGTGTGACTTGGATGCCATCGTCAAAGATGCAGAGCTGGGAGCAAGGCAGATCTAGGGTGATATATCCAGGAGAAGGGGCCTAAAGAGCCAGTTTCTTAGGGGCAGCCAAAGTCCTTTTCCCTACCTCAGTTTTACCAGAGAGTGACAAATGGTCATGCAGGAGAGCAAATGATACTTCAGTTGTGGGAGTGCATTTTCTCTTTCTTCCTTTAGACTTCTGGATGATCAAGTTCCTAGACTATTTTGTCACACATCTAGCCTTAGTTGTTAATTTAAAGGGAGATGGAATGGAAATAGGTCAATATATCTTCTCCAAGCCAGGATGTACAATATACTATTGTGCACAGAGGGGCAGATTGGCTTTCTTATATGAGACATATGCCTGCACACATAACCTTGCCTAATTCCCAGGGAACAGGTAGAATACACAATGCAAGAAATGTGCTTGGATTTGAGATATATCTCATCTCTCTCTCTCTCTCTCTCTCTCTCATTCTATGTATCTATATATATATCATATATTGATATATATATGTAATCTCATGATATATATATATATATAGATGACATATACATAATTTATATACATCTATATATATCATACACATGTATATAAGTCTCAATATATTTATGAATATATCATACACACATATAAATGATTACATTAAAGCTACAGTGACATTTATAGCCATATTTATGTCTGTAACATATTATATATACAAATGTATATACTGCACAAATAGATTTGTCAGTACTTACAGTAATATGGGGGACAAATTTTGGTATTAGTTTTTTCAAATCAGAGACCCATCACGGGATATATACTAAGAGCATCCAATGGAGTTTAATTTTATTGTCAATTTCTTGTGCTATGAGTCATGTTCTACAAATTGATCTCCCTAAATTAACTAGGGCTTTGAGCAGTTGGGTAAAGTTGCTATCAGGCTAAATTGAAATACACACACACTTTTAATAATTGAGTTGCATTCATATTTATAAAACTGCCTTATACTCATCAAAATGAATGTATTATGTGATTTAATTGCCACTGCACTTACATTTGTGAATCTATGAGGGATAATGAACAGGTGTTGTAGGAAAGCACATTTCCTTTCACCCAACTATAGTATAAATTCCAGATATACTACTAACTGATATTTTGTCTTTCTGTAACAAGGAGATTTAAAATACAAAACTTCCTTAAATTCACAAATGAAAATTTAACAGCATGAAAAATGATTCTGGTTGATTTTATTTGACTCATCTCTCAAATGTTACTTTTTTTAAGAGACATGGGATTATAAGTTTTGGGTATGTGAAGTTAGTGAGGTTAGGATCCAAAGGTGAAATAGAAATGGAGAGACTTCTGTCAAACTCATTCTAGTTATCACCTGGAACCAAAACCAGCCAAAGACACATCAGGAAAAGAAAACTTCAGACCAGCATCCCTGATGAATACAGATGCAAAAATTCTTAATAAAATATTGGCAAATCATATACAAAAACACATTTAAAAGTTAGTGCACCATGGTGGAGTAGATTTCATCCCAGGGATGCAAGGTTGGTTAACATATGGAAATCAATAAATGTAATTTACTACATAAAGAGTCTTAAAGACAAGAATCCTATGATTATCTCAATAGATGCTGAAAAAACATTTGACAAAGTACATCACACATTCATGTTGAAAACACTAGAAAAAATAGGGATAGAGGGAAATTAACACCAAAAATCCCTAAAAAATTAAGCAGGAAAAAGAAGTAAACAGAAACTTCTAAATAGAAGAAACACAAAAAAGTAAATAAATACATGAAAAAATGTTCAATATCTCTTTTAATTAGGGAATTGCAAATCAAAACTACACTAACATTTCATCTCACTCCAGTCAGAATGGCAACAATCAAGAATACCAACAACAATAAATGCTGAAAGGTTGTGGAGAGAAAGGAACACCTGAACATTGTTGGTGGGACTGAAGGCCAGTAGAACCACTCTGGAAAGCAGTTTGAAGATTCCTCAAAAACTAATGGGATTCTAGTTATTAACTCTTGTGCTATGGGTGTCCTATTGAGGAATTTGGAGCCCGACCCCACAGTACGTAGATCGTAGCCAACTTTTTCTTCTATCAGACGCCGTGTCTCTGATTTGATATCAAGCTCCTTGATCCATTTTGAGTTAACATTTGTGCATGGCGAGAGAAAGGGATTCAGTTTCATTTTGTTGCATATGGATTTCAAGTTTTCCCAGCACCATTTGTTGAAGATGCTATCCTTCCTCCATTGCATGCTTTTAGCCCCTTTATCAAATATAAGATAGTTGTAGTTTTGTGGATTGATTTATGTGTCCTCTATTCTGTACCATTGGTCCACCCGCCTGTTTTGGTACCAGTACCATGCTGTTTTTGTTACTATTGCTCTGTAGTATAGTTTGAAGTCTGGTATCGCTATACCGCCTGATTCACACTTCCTGCTTAGCATTGTTTTTGCTATTCTGGGTCTTTTATTTTTCCATATGAATTTCATGATTGCTTTCTCTATTTCTACAAGAAATGCCGTTGGGATTTTGATTGGCATTGCATTAAACCTATAGAGAACTTTTGGTAATATCGCCATTTTGATGATGTTAGTTCTGCCTATCCATGAACAGGGTATATTTTTCCATCTTCTAAGATCTTCTTCTATTTCTCTCTTTAGGGTTCTGTAGTTTTCATTGTATAAGTCTTTCACCTCTTTTGTTAGGTTGATTCCCAAGTATTTTATTTTTTTTGAGGATATTGTGAATGGAGTGGTTGTCCTCATTTCCATTTCAGAGGATTTGTCGCTGATATACAGGAATGCCTTTGATTTATGTGTGTTGATTTTATATCCTGCCACTTTGCTGAATTCATTTATTAGCTCTAATAGTTTCTTTGTAGACCCTTTTGGGTCTGCTAGGTATAGAATCATGTCATCTGCAAATAGTGATAATTTAAGTTCTTCTTTTCCTATTTTTATTCCTTTAATTTCTTTCGTCTGTCTAATGGCTCTGGCCAGTGTTTCGAGAACTATGTTGAACAGAAGTGGTGAGAGAGGGCATCCCTGTCTTGTTCCAGATTTTAGAGGGAATGCCTTCAAATTTACTCCATTCAGAATGATGCTAGCCTGAGGCTTAGCATAGATTGCTTTTACAATATTGAGGTATGTTCCTGTTATCCCTAGTTTTTCTAGAGTTTTGAACATAAAGGGATGCTGTACTTTGTCGAATGCTTTTTCCGCATCTATGGAGATGATCATATGGTTCTTATTTTTAAGTCTATTGATGTGATGAATAACATTTATTGATTTCTGTATATTGAACCAGCCTTGCATCCCAGGGATGAATCCTACTTGATCATGGTGCACAATTTTTTTGATATGTTTTTGTATCCGATTCGCCAGAATTTTATTG